TTTGGCTTGGCTAATCATGCATGTTTATGTACACTTGAAGATACTGTCGTGTTCAGTGGCCAGAACACCATGTCCAAGTCATAGGTCAACACAGCTACTAAACAGCACCTGTGAAGCCACGCAGACATTCAAAAGTGAGAAAGTCAGTCTCTTGAAATAAACCAAAATCAAATTCATCTAAAGGAGATAGCAAAGAAAGCGTTGCTGAAGGCATCTCCTACCTTGAGTTGTTCTCAGAATTCACATCAGTTGACCCAAAGAAGTGATAATTCGGAATACTGCAACCAGGTGCTGGACAGCAGTAAAAATTTGAATTCCCAGGGTGATCTATCATGCCAGGATGCGTCCTACAGTAAAACTGAAGATGTTGCAGCACAGTTAACCCAACTTGCACCCATAATTAAATGTGGTAATTTAAAACCAGAGGTCGAGAATGTTCAGAAAATACCAGCAAACCTTGTTGCAAAGAATATACAACAAAAACTTAGGAGAAAGGTATAGCACAACAAAAACCATCTTTAAGGATTTCCTTCCTTTTTAAAGACTGAATAATTTTGTAATGTGTATCATCTATGGATGTGTGTATGTATGCATGTACACAGATGTGCTACATCGTCTGTCCAGTCGTCTGTTGACCGACTCTTAGGCTGACTCCTTGGCTGTTGTGAATAGTGCTGTGATGAGCATCTGGTGTCATTCATCAGCATTTTAACAGCCCTCAGAAAGGTGTCCTTTGGAACAATATACCCGGGGGCGAAAGTAAGCCATGAAAGACTGAAGCATTTGTCATTAAAAAGTGTGTGATCTGTTAGAGGACAGAAGTCCCCAAGGGGAACGTCAGGGCACGTCAGTTGCACTGGTCAGTCAGGCCTGTGGGACGCTGTCCTTTGGGTCACATTCCCTCTGGCAGTAATTCACGATGTTGTTGTCAGCACAGCCTTCAGTGTTTCTGAAAATCATCCTGTTGGGCAGTGCGGTTTAGAAAATGCCAAGTTTAGAACACAGCAGATGTGGTTCCTCTGAGATGTGGGTCTTAAAAGCCCCGCAGCCAGAGCTCCCACCCATGAGCCATGTGTGCAAGTTGCTGACCTTTTCAAAGCTCTTCCTTCTCAGATGTGAAATGGGAATTGTAAATAGTAATGTATGTGTGTTTATGTGGTCATATATGTTGCTATGTACCATACATATACCTCTCCCTCTATACTCAAGGCACCAGGCTAAGCACATCTATGCATACACTTTTTTAAAATTTGATTTGTTTGTGTGTGTGTGTGTGTGTGCGCGTGCGTGTGTGCGTGTGTGTGTGTGTGTGTGTGTGCGTGCCTGTGTGCGTGCGTGTGTGTGTGTATGTGTGTACAGGCCATGTGTAGAAGTCCAAGGAGAGCTGTCCAGAGTTGGCTTTCTGTTTCTGCCTTGTTGAGGCAGGGTCTCTCCTGTTGTTTCTCCTGCACTGCATGCTTTAGGCTAGCTGGCCCATGAGCTTCTCGGTGATTCTTTTGTCTCTTGCCTTCCATCTTGCCATAATGGTACTAGAATTACAGATGTGTGGCCACCAGGCTTTTTACGTACATTGCAGGAACTGAGTCAACAGACTTGCACAGCAAGCACTTTTACCCACTGAGCCATCTTACCAGCCCCCTTTATTGTATATTCTAACTCTTAATCCTCTCAGTATAATTTGGAGATGCAATTATGGTCACTGTCTGCATCATTACAGGCACCAGAGATCTTAAGGAACGGTTCAATGTTGCACTACAGGTAAATGGCAGAAGTAGGATTAGAACAAGGTCTACTTACAGACCGACCCCTGGCCCTTCGCTACTGCAGACCCCTGACCCTTCTCTACTGCAGACCCCTGACCCTTCTCTACTGCAGACCCCTGGCCCTTCACTACTGCAGACCCCTGACCCTTCTCTACTGCAGACCCCTGGCCCTTCACTACTGCACACCCCTGACCACTACTGCAGACCCCTGACCCTTCACTACTACAGACCCCTGGCCCTTCACTACTGCACACCCCTGGCCCTTCACTACTGCACACCCCTGACCCTTCACTACCGCAGACCCCTGACCCTTCACTACTGCAGACCCCTGACCACTACTGCAGACCCCTGACCCTTCTCTACTGCAGACCCCTGACCCTTCTCTACTGCAGACCCCTGACCCTTCACTACTGCAGACCCCTGGCCCTTCACTACGGCAGACCCCTGGCCCTTCACTACTGCAGACCTCTAGTCCTTCTCCACTGTTCTTCATGACTTTGCAGAGAGGTGTCCTAAGTAGATGTATTGTAGGATTACTTCTGTCATGCTTGAGGTGGACTTGAAGCTCTGTCAGTGGCAGCCACAGTAGCTGCTAATACACATGACTGAGTATGGCCTCTAGGGCAGCTGTGTCTCTGTCTTTCTGTCCTCATTAGCTCCAGGCCTCCTCCACATTTGCCACAAAATCCGTGTCAGAACTCTTTTGTTCTGACACCTTCCTCTCCCCACCTCTTCCACTTGCCATCCCTTAGGCAAGGTTTGTCAGTTATTGTACAGCCTACTGCCACAGGGTGTGCCAGTGTTTGGGATGCTCTGCAGACTTCAGTGTCCCTGGCAGTGGTGCTGTTTCTCTGTACTCCCATGAGTCCTCTCAGTTACCCATTCCGTAGCTACTGTTCACTTGAGGGTTTTGTCCCCAAGCTCCACATATACTGCCTTGTCCATAGTAGGCACTCAGCATATTTGGTACCATCACAGCAAAGTGTACTGAAAAGAGTATAGTATCTTTCTGTGTGCACAGCCAGCTGAATTCTGGTATGTCCATGTTAGATGAGCTTAGTTGTCTGTTCTGCTTTTGAGTCAGAACCAAAATTCAGCATAACAGTTAGGTCCAAAGCCCTGAAGGTGGTATGCTGCGGGCCTTTCCTTACCTGTCCTCTACATATGAGAGCTTACACACATTCTGGGATGGGATGTGTCCAGCAGTCAGTTGATGCTAGGAAGCCTTTGGCATGTTAGCACCCTTCCCAGGGACAGAAAGGTGATCTGAGCATCCACTCCTATGAAGTGAGGAGGCTCTGGTCCTCTCCAGCTCTGTCATCCCAGCATCTTGTGACACTAGCTTCTATACAACATAAACACTATGGCAGGGCTACACCCAAGGCAGGCAGGGGCCGTGTGGGCTTGCCTCTGTAGCAGAGTCCAACCTCACATAAGCAATTAAATGTTTATGAAGACAACATTTAAGGGAATTAAGAGTTTGAGTTCTTTCCATTTCCTGGCCCCGTGAATCATTCTTGGAGAAGTCATAATGTTATAAATCTCATTAGAAGTGTAAATCACAGAGGGACAGGTCCTTGACCTCAGCAGTTTATAATCTGTATGAGTCATAAATAAAAGCAGCAAGAAGTAAAACAAAACTAATGAAAGTGATATAGATAAAGATAGGAAAATGGGAAGTTCAGTCTAAAGAGAATGTTTTTTCTCCTAGAGGCAAAGTACTCAATGAAAAATATAGCCTTTTCTGGGCTGGAAAGATGGCTCAGTGGTTAAAAGCACTGATTGCTTTTTCAGAGGACCCAGATTTGATTCCTAGCACCCGTGTGGCAGCTAACAACTGTCCATAACTCCAGTTCAAGGGGATCCAACGCTGTCTTCTGACCTCTGCAGGCATTGCACGACACAGGTGCACTTACACACATGCGGTCAATACACTCATAACACATAAAATTAAAAAAAAATAATAATAAAAAGAAAGAAAAATGTAGCCTTTTCTAATAACCTTAACACCAATCCAGCAAACATATCTTGAGGGCCTACTGTGTTCAAGGAGCTTGGGGATCAGACCCTCAAGCAAGGAATAGTTGATGGTTAATGACTGGTATTAGAGAGAACATGTGGAAATGCAGAGAGAGAGTGCCCCAGGGACAGAGGTTTGTAGAGCACCCCAACCACCATTGTACCACCATGGCATCAGCCTGTAGTGACTGAAGAACCTCCTAATTAGGGATGACATGTGGAGTGGGAGGCGAGATGAAGGGAGTCTATCAAGAGGTTCTAATATGGGCTCTTTGGCAAGTGTGGAGGAAGCCTGGGGCCAGTGAGGACAGAAACGTGGAGGCATGGAAATGTATTGGATCATTGCAATAAGCACTAGTAGGAGGGATTCTTCCACAGTGAAAAACAGCAGGACCATGACAGGGTCAAGAAGGCCTGCTGGGAGCACTAGGCTTCCTCCTGCTCCTGTTAAAACTCAAGCCTAGTAAGGAAGTGGGTGATGACAGTGAACAGACCTGCCAGGGCCAGGCTCACTCACGTGATGATTTTAAGGTTGGCAGAACTGCAGGGTGAGTTATGTGTGGCAGTGAAAAGAATTTCCTTTTGAGGAGTCAGTGCATAGGGGTGTTGGCTGACTGAAAGCATATTCATTGGAGAAGAACACAGCGAGGTTAAGAATATATATAGGAACAGGAATGCAGGGACCTTGCATTTGGGGCACAGGGTGGCAGGAGCCTGAGCCCCTAGTGGGACAGGTAGGCCCCAGGTTCTGGAATGTTCTTTGAGATAATGACTACTCCAGTGGGAACTTGGACATCTATGGGCTTGTTTGGCATTCTAGAGACTGTCTTGATAGAACATGGACACGAGTTTCTGAGATCCTTCTGACCTCCCCAAGAGCCTGATAGCCCACCCTTGTCCTACGGAAAAGTGAGGGTTTTGGTCCGGGGTACTTTGTTTCTGACTTTGGGAGCTTTCTGACCACGGATGTGGGAAGAAGTGATCTATAAGCTTTGAGAAACACTTTTACAGGATCCTTCCCACCCAGCACAAAGATTGGGTTTTAATCCTAGGAGTCGATAGGATGCACAGTTTGTCCAAATGTGAGCAGTGCTTGCCATGTTCAGTTTGCTAATTCTTGTGTTGCTCTGTGTTCTCTCCCTCCCTCCCCACCTCTATCCTTCTCTCCTTTTCTCCCCACCGTCCTCCTCCCTCCTCTTCCATCTTTCTCTTCTTTAGAACCAGACTATCAGGTCTACCTGAATGCGTCTAAAGTCCCTGGGTTTTCAGATGACCCCACAGAACTGGAATGCCGAGTGGTAGACATGAAGAGTGTGGAGGCCAATGTTCGACTTACTGTGTCATGGTACTATAGAATGAACCGGCGCAGTGACGACATGGTGAGCAGCGAGCTTCTTGCAGTCATGGATGGGGACTGGACGCTGAGATATGGAGAGAGGAGCAAGCAGCGGGCCCAGGATGGAGAGTTTATTTTTTCTAAGGAACACACAGACATGTTCAATTTCCGGATCCAAAGGACTACAGAGGAAGACAGGGGCAATTATTACTGTGTTGTGTCTGCCTGGACCAGGCAGCGAAACAACAGCTGGGTGAAGAGCAAGGATGTCTTCTCCAAGCCTGTCAACATATTCTGGGCCTCAGAAGGTGGGAGCTTCATTCCGGTTACTTTCCATATTTGTTTGGGTTTCTTTTTTTAAAAAAATTTTATTCATTTATTTTTTTTCTATTTTATGTGTATGAGTATATTGCTTGCATGTAGGTAAGTGCACCTGTGTCATGCAATACCTGCGTAGGACAGAAGAGGCGGTCGGATCTCCTGGAACTGGAGTTACAGACAATTGTTAGCTGCCATGTGGGTGCTGAGATTCGAACCTGGGTCTTCTGCAAGAAAAACCAGTGTTCTTAGCCTCTGAGCCATCTCTCCAGCCCCTGTTTTGGTTTCTTAAGTCATTTCAGGTGTCCCACCACCCTTCAAGTCAATCTGGGGATCTGTGCAGATGTACTGGGGAGCTATAATTACTGCTTGACCCTCTTTGCCCTCCTTTGGACTCACCACTGCCCCTTCTCTGTCCCAGTCCCCAAAGGGCTCTCTGCAACTCCTGGCATTAGCCTTCCGTTTTCTGAACCCTATTTCCTTCTTCCATTAAACATTTCCAGCCTCCTTCTCTGAGGATAGTTATCCCAAGAGCCCTCCTGAGTAGTGTTTTCTTCCCACACACTGGACTTAAAGGGGACAGGCTTGTTTCTCAGGGCAGCTTTCAGATCATTTCCACTAGGCCTCAGAAGATCTGGCAGCATCTCCCTGCCCAGGGCCATACCACTTCCTCCCACACCCAGCCCGTTGACTGCTGGCTGGGTCTTCTGCCCATTTGTTGGAGATGTCAGCCGTGGTTTTGAGGCCACTCTGTCTATTACTGCTTCTGTCTGGCCAGCTTCACTGAACTTATCCTGGGAACTTTTGAGAAGAAGAAAATCCCACTAGAAATTCTCTTTTGTCTGGACACTGGCCTTGGGTCCTCAGAAGCGGCCACAGCAGAGAACCCTGAGGCTGGCAGGGCTCTCATTCTCCGTCCTTTGTCTTCCTTTCTCTAGGTATTATGTCCCCTTCCTTCTTGGTCCCACACTCCAGATTCTGTGTATCAGATCAGCTCATTTCTGGCAGCGGAAACCTCCATAGCCATTTTTATGCATCCCATTTGCTAAGCATGCCTGTCTTTCTAGATCACGCCCTCTAGCACTTCAGTCCTGTTTATTGATCCTGCCATTGTCCTTCACTTTTACTGGGTCTTCTCATCTCTCTCACTAAGGTGACCATTTGCTCCAGGAAGTCCAACTCAGACCTACTGTCCTAGTCTAGTTATTTTAGCACCGTCCCTCATTCTGATTTTCTGGGGGTTGCAGGTAGGATGAGTTACATGAACACTTACTGAAACCTAGCCTCAGTTTCCCATCAGTCACGTCCCTCCCTTGCATACACCCTTAACTCCCTTACCCTTGGCTTGGCCTACTTTATACTCTGGCTAAACAACAACCCAGTTCAAAGCCAGCTCTGCTGCCTCTCTGTCTGCATATGCAGAGCTAAATGTGGCTGAAGAAAAGCATTCCAGTAGTGGTGACTGGTCTCCCTTTCAATCTTCAATCCCTCCCGTCATGTGGGCTCTCAACATTGAGAATCATTCTGGTTCTCTTGGTGTGTTTACTTCCCCACTCATAAGTGTTGATTGCATGCCACCTGCTCTTTCTGCAAACCTCCTTCCCCAGCCTCCATCAGCTCCTGGCCCTGCTTCCTTTTCCCCTAAACAAGACAATCAGAGGAGAGCTTGCATGCACTAGACCCAGCACTGAGCCTCTTACTCTCTCTTAGTTCTTAGCAAAGGCCAGCCCCCTCTCACAACTCAGACACATGACCCTCTCTCTTATTTCTTAAATAGGCCCTCTCCTCTGGACCTTTCCCATTGGCCTGTTACCATGCTGTTAGAGAAACTAAGCTTGACCTTCTTCCATCTTTCTTTCCTACTTATTACTCAGTATCCTTTTTTAGCTGTGGCCTTTGATGTGTCTGTTTTTGATATTTCCTGCTTCAGTCTTCCTTGGTACCCTGTCTAATCAGACTTTTTTCTGTACCGCATATGTTAAGACCTCCAGAGATCAACAGACCACAGAAGCCCATTGTCATTACATCCTGGGCAGGATCGATTCCTCCTAAATGCTTTGACTTTTCCTCTGGCTTCTAGGATGTCCTTTCCGGGCTTTCTTCCCACCTCACTGGCTGCTGCCTCTCAGCCTCCTTTGCTACCTTCTGTTGACTCTCTCAGTCCCCTCACATGACACAACGTCAGGACATAGTCCTTCAATTCCTGTTTAACTCCCTTGGTAATCTCTTCAATTCAAATACCCTCTGCACACCAGTGACTGACTCCTACTTATGTATCTCTATCCCAGAGCTTGTTCTAGAACTTACTATGTTGCCTTCTTGCCTAGCAGGCATCTCTGACTTTTGTTCAAAGTGGTGTTCCTGGCCTCTGCCACCTCTCTTGGCTCAGCTTTCTCTAGTACTGTTACTCTTGTTGCTCCAATGAGACCTTCACCTCTGGCTGCCCATTCTTTTGTTTTGTTTTGCTAAGGCTTAAACCCAGGGTCTTGCCAGTTTTAGGCAAGCCAGCCACACCCTAATCCCTCCTTTTTATTGTTTGTTTGTTTTTTTAGAGATAGTATCTCATGTAGCACAGTGTGGCCTCAAACTCTCGTAGCCAAGAAAAATCCTGGACTCTTGATCCTCCTATCTCTTCCTCCTAAGTGCTGGGCTTCCAGGCATGTCCACCCCCATACCCAGTTCCAATTCCTCATTCTTAAAACTAATCTGGAGTCTAACCACTTCTCATGCTCGCCTCTTAGTGAACCATTCCTGTCTCTCACCTATGCCCATATCACTAGCCTCCCATCTGGTCTCCTTGCTTCCCTTAACTATACCCTTAGCATGAAGGTCTTCAGCTCTAAACCTTCACAGGTTCCATTTCTCAGACCAAACCCAGAGTCCTCAGTGGCCTTGAGTGTCCTATATAGACCAACCCTACAAGCTAACCAGTCTCCCCCACAACTTTCCCCACTGCTCACTTAACTTGGGCCCCTCTGCCCCTCATGTGGTCTTCCTTACCCCCAAACAGGCTCTGTAGCTCTCCATTTTCTGTCCTGTCTCTGGGAAAGTGTTCTCACCTCCTGCAGGTCCTCATTCAAATATAGAAATATCCCTGGCAACTCTGTCAATAGTTGTGATGCTTTCCCCATATAGACCTATATTTTTCCTCATATGTTATTTTATTCATCTTCTTCTACTAGCATATAAAATGAAGACTTTATGTATGTTTGGCTTATGGTTTCATTCCCAGTACCCATAATACAAAGGCTGTCAGTAATTATAGGGTAAATTCATGAACGGATGACCCAACTGAGAAGAGAGTTAGGAGAGGATGTGTCTGCCTCATGGAACCTCAGAAATGAACAGCTTTGGAGACAAGTGTAGCATACACATTGTACTGATAGGCTTCACGGAAATAATGGTCCCCCAGATCCCAACATAAAATTCTCATAAGTGATTTTATGATTAATTATTGTTTTAAAAAGGGGGCTGGATTGCCAGGCATGGTGGCCCATGCCTTTAATCCCTTCACTCAGGAGGCAGAGGCAGGTAGGTCTCTATGAGATTGAAGCCAGCTTGGGATGGTTTACCTAATAAGTGCCAGGCCTACTGGGGCTACATAGTGAGACCCTGTCTCAAAAAAACAAAAAATGCAAATAAATAAAAAAATCAAAGGGGGCGGAGAGATGGGTCAGTGGTCAAGAGCACTGGTTACTCTTCCAGAACACCCAAATTTGGTACATGGTGGCTAATAACTGTCTAAAACTCCAATTCCAGGGAATCTGATGCCTTCTGGCCTCTGTGGGTATTGTACACACATGGTGCACTTATATACATGCAGGCAAAACACTCATACATATAAAAAGAAAATAATAAAAATTATAATTTAAGAAAAGATAAAAAAGAATGGGTACAATTCATTTATTCACCCATTCAGTAGTTATCTAAGAGCCTTCCACGTGCTTGATGTCCCCAAGTGATTCATGAATCCAAATGTGTATATGCTTAGGTGATACTGTTTGACAGAGAAGCAGAAAGAACATGGAAACCCACTGGAAAGGAAGCCATAGCCACTGGCTCACTATCTTCATACAGCATCTCTGAACTTGGTAGTGTGAACAGGTGGAAGTGATTAGATCTGTGAGTGCATTTGTGTGTCCAGGTAGAGTTGTTTTAGGTGCGACCCTCATAGGATTAGGCAGAGAGGAGCTGTGCCCCCCCCCCCCCCCCCCCCCCCCGCGGCTAGCTCAACTGGGGACACTTTCCTGACCGACACTCAGCAGAGAAGTCTGTGGTGTGGCCAACCCAGCCTGGTCTGGTTTGGGGGTGGGGGACACCTTTAGCCCTTCGACTCCTCTTGGTGAAACATCTCACAGATTGAGAGTCTGCCAATCCACAGCCACTGTCGATTGCACCTCAAATTATATCCAACTGTTTCTTCCCCGGTGCTGGTTCTCAGTCTGTCTCCACACTCTCCTTAGTGCTACTGTGTAGCAAATTGCGGATAAGTTCCTGTTTCCTTGACCTTATGCGCCTCCATTTTAACGGGTCCTGCTGGAAAATGACCTCCTTCTGCTGCTTCATTCCAGATTCTGTGCTTGTGGTGAAGGCACGGCAACCGAAGCCCTTCTTCGCTGCAGGGAATACGTTTGAGATGACTTGCAAAGTGTCTTCCAAGAATATCAAGTCACCACGCTACTCTGTCCTCATCACGGCTGAGAAGCCCGTCGGGGACCTCTCCAGTCCCAACGAAACCAAGTGCATCATCTCCCTAGACCAGGATTCAGTGGTGAAGCTGGAGAACTGGACCGACGCCTCACGGGTGGACGGCGTGGTGTTGGAGAAGGTTCAGGAGGATGAGTTTCGCTACCGAATGTACCAAACTCAGATCTCTGATGCAGGGCTGTACCGCTGTGTGGTGACAGCTTGGTCTCTTGTCGGGGGCAGCATGTGGCGAGAAGCAGCGACCAGTCTCTCCAATCCTATTGAGATTGACTTCCAAACCTCAGGTGAGTGGAGACCTCTGTGGAGTCATAGACTGAGCTGGATGACGAGCCTAGCATTCTGATCAAATGTCCTTTTATTTATTTACTCATTCATTTACTTATTTTGTATATGGATGTGTATGAGGGCGTATATAAGCATATATGTGTGTGTGTATGTGTGCTTTATGTACACGTGTGGACGTGGAGGCCGGAAGAGGATGCTGGGTGTCTTGCTCTACTTTCTCTGCCTTATTCCCTTGAGACAGTTTCTCACTGAGTCTGGAACCATGCTGGTGGTCAGAAAGTCGCAGTGATCCTCCCGTCTCTGCCCCCCCCAGCACTGTGGTTCCAGGCTCATGTACAACTCGGGTACTTCAGTCTTTAGGGAGCATGATAGAAAGTAAAGAAGGGGAGGAGAGGTTTAGTGACTGGTCACAGTGGAAGGTTCTGAGCTGGAGTCTGAATCCTGGCTGGCTGCATGGCTTCCCATTCCAGGACTGGAGGTGGTGACAGAGGCTGTGAGTCCAAATACTCAGGAATGTTTCCATTACAGGGGATAGTCCACAGCCTTGCTCCTTGCCTCAGTTTTGGATTGGGGGGGGGGGAGGAAGGAGCGGGGAGAGGGGAGGCAGGGAGGGAGGGAGGAAAAACTTTCCTACAGTTAGTTGAGTTACCAGACCTGCTGTTGTGAATCTGTCAGCTTGATTTGTTAGGGATAGTTATTAAAGGACTGGAGAGTCGATTCCATGGTTAAGAGTGCTGACTGTTTTCACAGAGGACCTGGGTTAGGTTCCCAGCACCCACATTGTGGCTAGTCCATCACTTCAGTTCCAGGGGACCCGACACCCTCTTCCGACCTCTGCAGACACTGCACAGCACAGGTGCACTTACATACATGCAGGCAAAACACTCATGCACATAAAATTTTTAAAAGCATTTAAAAAAAAAGAATAGTTACCAGTGGTATTTGTCTATGAAACTTTTTTTTTGTCTATTTGGAAATAATTTTATCTTTTGACAACTAGAATGTTACTGTGGGAAATGTTTCTTACGCATCTGTGTAATCCACTAAGATCTTCTGACAAACCCATCTGTGTGCATATGTGTCTTTCAGCAGGAAGGTGATTTTAAAGTTTTAAATCCTCACTCTTACTTGGAATACTCATGTGAAGTATTATCATTTGTGAATTTAAGAGTAGAAGTTTGCACTAATCTGCCCTGCATACCAGTTAGGGATTTTTAAATTCATACATTCATATTCATCTATAAAAATTCAGGCATTAGAGGCTGGAGAGATGACTTAGTGATTAAGAGCACTGACTGCTCTTGCAGAGGACTCAGGTTTGATTCTCAGCACCTACATGGCAGCTAACAACCATCCTTAACTCCAGTTCCAGGGGATCTGATGCCCTCTTCTGACCTCCACAGGCATTTCATGACATGCGTGTACTTGCTTACATGTAGGCATAGCACTCACACATAAAATTTCAAAACTCTAGGCATTAATTGAATCATTATAACAAATTAAAGATGCTTTCATGAAAATTTTCCCATTTGGGTCTGCTCTTGCAGAAGATCATTTTGTTCCCAGCACTCATGTTGGGCAGCTCACAACCACCTGTAACTCCAGCTCCAGGGGTATAATGCCCTCTTCTGGCCTCCTCAGGCAACTGCACTCATGTGCACATATCCACATACATTCATACACATAATTAAATGAAATGAAATGATTTTCTTTGGAAAAGAAATCATTAAATGTAATATATAGTAAAATAATCCTCTAGAATCTATTCACCTTTACTAGAACATAAACCTTGACTTAAAGCTCTTAAAATAGAAAAGACTAGGTTGAGCATAGGCCTCTCTTACTATGTGTCTGTCGGTTGGTTGGTCAGTCTGCCTGTCTATATTGACACCTATAGTGAGATACAACTCACAAGCCATAAAAGTCACCCCAACTATAGATGTATTGGTTTCACCACTGTCCTATTCCAGAACATTTTAAGCCCTCCAAAGGGAAAGCCCATTCCTACTAATAGTCACTCCCATCCTGCTAGTCCCCTGCCCTCAGCAGCCACTGGTCTCCTACTGTATAGAGTCCCCTCCTCTGAGCACTTCATATACTATGTGGGTTTTTGTGACTGGCTTTTCTCACTTAAGCATACTGATTTCAAGATTGAGACCATTATAAGATGTGTCCTTACTTCATTGATTTTGTTTGCATTGTTGTTGTTATTTGACAGGGTCTCACTATGAGCCCTGGCTGACCTGGAACTTGCTGTGTAGACCAGCCTGACCTCTTACTCACAGAGATCTACCTGCCTCTGTGTCTCCCTCCCACGTTCTGGGATTAAAGGAATGCACCACCATGCCCAGCCCTTCATTGCTTTTCATGACTGAATAATATTCCATTGTATGGTTACTACACTTTGATTATTCTTTGATCTGTTTATGAGTTATGCTTCCAGAAACTTTATTGTTTTGAAAACAATTCTCTTATTCTGTTAGTTGTCTTTAAAGTTTTGAAATGGTATCACTTGAAACATCAAAATTTTTAGATTTTTCTTCAGAATTTTTTTGTTTGAGACAGAGTCTCATATAGCCCAGGCTAGCCTTGAACTCCTGATCCTCCTGTCTCTACCTTCCAGGTGTTGAGATTACAGGCATATATCACCACACCTAGCTCAGAATGTTTACTTTTAATGGAGTCTGGTTTATTTGGTTTTTGTTGCTTAAGGTTTTTTTTATATTATGTCTCAGAAATCGTTGCCTAGTTCAAGGTCATGAGGAGTTTTACAGTTTTATCCCTTACATTTCCAGCTGTGCACTGTTTTGCGCAACTTCTCATATATAGTGTGAGGAAGGAGTCCAACTTCATTATTCGGCATGGAGACATAGAGCTGACCCAGCACCATTTGTTGAAAAGCCTGTGCTTCCCCTCCCCTGTAGACCTGTCTTGGCACCCTTGTCAGAAACTCAGCTCCATCACAGATGCCAAAGTTTATTTTTAGACTTTCAGTTTTGTGCAGGTACCTGTTTCCATCCTAATACCAGTATCACATTGTTTGCTGTCACTTTGTGGATAGTTTAAAGATCAGTTAAGTCTGACTCTTCCAACTTTGTTCTTTCTCAAGGTTGTTTTGAGTGCTTTAGGTCCCTTGCATTTCCATGTAACTTTAGGATCTGTCAGTTTCTATAAAAGGATCACGAGCACTCTGGTTGGGATTCTGCTGAGTTTGTGGAGTTCAGTTACTGACAGTCTCTCACACTGTTGTCTTTTAACTCATCAACATAAAATGCTGATTTAGGTCTTTAATATATTTCAATGATGTTTTATTTTTGTTGTGTAAATATTGAACTTATTAAGTTCATTCTAATATTTTCTGACTTTCTGTTATTATAATTGTATATAAGCGCAACTGATTTTTGTGTACTGATCTTGTGTGTTACAACCATACTAAACTTAGTTCTAACAGGGTTTTTGGTGGATTTCCTACAACTATTTTTTTTTCTTTATAATCTTGAAAACACAAGGTCTTATCTGTGACTAAAGGTAGTCTTAGATTATTTCCCTCTATTGTCAGTGCTGTGTTGAATAGAAGTGGCACGGTAGAAACCCTTGTCTTGTTCCTGATCTTATGGGGAGAGCAGTCCTCCTTTCACCATAAATGCCAGGTTCCTGTGAGATTTCCATAGATGTTCGTTCTCAGGTTGCAGAAGTTTTCTTCCATTCCTAGTTTGTTGAGCCTTTTTTTTTTTTTTTTAAGATAAGGTCTCACTGTGTTGCCCTGGCTGGCCTAGAACTCTCTATGTAGACCAGGCTGGCCTTGAACCCACAGAGATCCTCCTGCCTCCCAAGTGCTAGGATCAAAGGCATGCACTACCATGCCCAGCCCTTGTTGAATGTTTTTAAGGAGCAGTGTGGGGGTCTGAGATAAAACAGTATGTGAGGTTTTGGGGTTTTTTTTTTTCAGTCCTTTATATATCTATCTTACTGTGCTATGGTCAGTTCCATCTTGTTTTACATTGCTATTTGATCATTCTTTGTGTTGTGTGCAAGAGAGGAGATATAGACTCCTTCGTGTGTATTTTTGGGTAAGGAATGGATATTGGATCTATTTCTAATTCTTCAAATCTCAGCATGACAGGTAATAGCACTTCACTTACGGACCGAATACACTGCCTAAGAACTGTGTTCAGTCTATGGAGTTGTCATAGCCTGTCCCTATCTTAATTAGGAGCTGCCATCTGAATGCGCTGCCCAATGCTATCGCCCCCAATAGACAACTGGTTTGAACCTGAAGATCTGCTTCCTACCAGTCAGCAGTCTTCTTAAGACCTGAGACAAAGAAGTCCTTTCAGTGTGTACCACCTTGTCGTCTGATCAGGGTGTTTGCCTCTGAGTTTCCTAGGGAACCTACTAGATCATGATTCAAATATCAGAGTTAAAATAGGATTTAATGTGATGGTGTAGACTTTAGCCTTTTAAAAGAATAGTAATATTTATTGTTCCTTTTTAATGTGGAAAATTTGAAAAGATAGGGAAGTATTAGGAAGTGTCTGGTACATCCTACCAAACACTTGTTTAGGCTGTTCATCTTCCTGGGATTTTTCCCTTGGGTATTCTCTTCATGATTTTACAATTAGGCCATATATATAATTTTATGACCTCCTTCCTCCCCTTTAATGTTGTTAGATAATCATTTTTCCTGTTACAATAAATGTTAGGTAGACACTAACCCAAATGGCTGCATAGGGTGGACTTACTCAGCCACAACTCTATGGCTAGATGCAAACAGATGGCAGTTTTTGCTTTCACAAAAAAAGGTGCCCTTATACTCCTTCATCTAAGGGGCGGGGTTAGAACATGGTTGTGTCAATGTTTGTGTTTAAAAGCTAAGTGGTCCCTGTACTCTCTGCAGATGAGGAACTGAGGGACCCCAAATGACTCAGGCTGTTAATGTCAATTCTCTGAGTCATAGTCTATCATTTGTGAAGCTAACCAGACAGATACCTCACAAAGCAGCATTGCCACAGAAATTGACCATAATGAAAATATTTCTAAGCCTGGGATAATGACCCATATTAACAGCAAGCTGTTGACTTCATTAGAAGGAAATCCACGACTGCGAGTCATTCACAATGAAGGCCTTCTTCCCCAGGCCTGTCCGATTGTGAGCCATAGCACAGACCCCTTCTTGATTCCCACGGCTGCCACCAGTAGGGGAAATGAGAGCTGTAACTTGTGACCCTGAAGGCATTTGGGGTTTTCTTTAGAAATGAAAAGAAAAGTGACATTTGTTCAAATTAGGTAAGTCTTTCTTTGTTGTTTCAATAAAAAACATCAATCAATTGAGCGTTTCAATGTTTGGTCACTTGGGGCTCTCTTAAAGGGGCCTGAACACCTTCAGGAGAGCCCCTTAGAGTACTTATCTTTATCACCATGAAATTTCAAATCTGGGAAGAAAATATAATGCCCATTGTTCATGGTCACTGCTCCCCTGAGTAGACAGCCATCCATAGCAGACGGTTCCCCCAGCCGTTTCCACAGAGCTGGTCAGAGTAACGAGGCTGGGGCTAGAGCTGAGGCCGCTGGAGGGAGTGATGTTCCAGAGGAAGGTAGTCCCTTATCTTCTGCTTCCTCCTTCCCCTTTCCTCTGACTGCCATTCTGCCATGTTCTTGGCCCTTCTGGAGCTAAGTCCCCAGGTCTCCCTAACCTTCCATATCCATAGCCATCCTTTACCTTTCACCCAGGAGGACACAGATTATTCATATACTTAAGTGTTAGGAAAGTAGTTTAATGACCTATTTTATTAGTCATCAAATTGAAATGAAAATAGAATCATTTCAGCTCATTGCTTCTTTGGAGGGTGTGACCTTTCACATACTTCATTGCTTCCTTGGATGGTGACCTTTCACACACTTTCATCTCATGGTTGTTTTTATCAATGCTTTAAAAAAAGTTCTTTGGGTTGGGGTTGGGGATTTAGCTCAGTGGTAGACCACTTGCCTAGCAAGCGCAAGGCCCTGGGTTCGGTCCTCAGCTCCGAAAAGAAAAAAAAAAATCTTTGG